TAGGACTCCTTGGACGAGTGATCAGACTGTCGCAAGGCCTCTACCTGTTCACAAGACAGCACAACACAGAAAGACACGGACAAACATCCATGGCTTGAGTGGGATTTGAATCCACGATCCCAGTGTCCAAGCGACACGAGGCTCTCACCTCAGACCACGCGGCCACTGAGACTGGCTTAATGATCAATGAAAGTGAGAGTAATGATAATGGCAATGATAGCACTATTGGTGGTGACAGTGAATGACACAAACATTTTAGTGAATTACTGACTGAAGAAACAATTTAAATCAAACTGCATATTACTGGCAAATAAACCTCAGCATTTAAATTGTATCTGATAACATTCTACTTGGGACTCCTTTAAATATAAGTTTCATATATTACATGCCCCATAATTTTAAAACGAAAAAAAACCTGTTATACAAGAGTAAATATGGCATGTATACTTAACATCAGAATACTGAAGAATGCAAACCCTAGTGAAATACAAACCTGGTAAATTCTAATACTGATTTCATTTATTCAGGTAAGAACAGTATTAGTAATTTCATAAAGTAAAAAAAAGAAGGGACACAGAATATATGGAAAGATATGGCTTATAACAGAATACTGCAAGACAGGAAATGAATGTGTAGAAACACTATCAAATCAGAAAATGAAAACAACAGAAGCACATTAAAGCTAGATTAGTGAAATAATTTTAACAGTAAGAATCTCTTCAACACAACCATCTGGCTATTCAATGGGTACTGGAAGTCCTGGTGTAAAGAAGCCAGGGTGCAAAACTAATCGTATCTACTGCCAAGGTTAAGACGCCACGTCAACGTCAATGACAGTGACGATATAGTACAATGCATTCTTAAGCAGAGGAAGAACTCTTTTTGCCAGTGACAAAAATCAGTTTATCAGTTGTGTCATGAAGTCTACATATTTTAAAAAATCCTATCAGAAAAGTTTCTTTCCCTTACCAGAACTTTGTTACTGCCAACTGTCTCCTTGACGTACTTCAGACATTCCACTTCCCTACCCTGCAGAGTGTAGTTGCCCGTACAGCCACTGATGTCAAACAGGAAGTTCTTTATCATAGTCTTTCCATTTGTTGTGAGGTCAACCTATGGAGGCAGGCACAAACAATTTGCAGACAGGATCAAAGTATGGAAGAGAATGACAGTTTCTGCTCACTGAGAGACAAATCAATCATCCTTTTCACTTGAGACAACAGAATCCTCCATATGGGTGCCCCCATCTCAGAATGGATTCTACACTTGACTAGTGTTTGCAGAGACCATGAAAATTCATCATGGACCAGACATAGGGGCATTAGATACCAATCAACAGACCAATGAAGAATGTCTTACATGAAAATATTTGTAATTAGCAGCTGCACAACACAAATATTGCATGTTAAAAGTTCACACTGACTTCACTGCAACCTCATGAAACAAAGTAAAACATCAATTTTGACTACGAACGTAGGCATTATTCTCCCTCGCTTTGGTTCAGACCACTTATTTTTATTGATTATTTTTAACGCTAACTTTTTATGAGATGTTTCCTTTGAAACAGTCTTCCTTCATTGTGTTTCAACGATCAAGTAAACTCCCAGCATATTGCATGACACTTGTTAAAAACAAATGTCATGCAATACAAAAATTACACAACACAAAAAATAACTGCAAAACTATAATGTAAAGATACATGTAAATTTTATTAAATTTTTTATGAACAGAGAGTTTCATATTTGCAGAAACAGCTTAATCACAGAAACTGCTATAGACCAGAAGGCCATGGTCTGATCATCACCACTTTCTGAATGGTTTCAGGACTCAAACAATCCCAGCAGCAATTTTCCTGAGAAAGAAGCACAATGTCTGTATGCACAGTGTACTAACAGAGATCACAATGGTGGATGACACACACATGCCTACCTCTGGGTGGAACTGAACGCCATACAGACGCAGCTTGTCATTAGCTACACCTGCTGGGAAAGAACTTGATGCTGCGACAACTCGAAAACTATCAGCAACTTTTTCTATACTGTCGCCATGTGTGAGGAGAACTCTTTGCGCTTTATCCAGTCCCCTGCAAAAGATAAAACAGCACTTGCTTCAACCAGCAAATTAAACTATTTATTCTCCTCCATGCTACTTCATGTTTGTAGACTGCGCTTAAAAGTTACTACTATGATCTATAAACCTGAAGATGACTGGTTCTTGTGCAAAACATGTAGTTCAACATCAATAGGCCCTTTACAGTAGTGTAAGGAGTGAAACAAAATCAATAACATGATGTAGAAAAACTGAAGGCGTTTAAACACGAAGATAAAACAAAGAAGACACAAAGATGCTACACTAGAACCCTGAAGTTACTTGCAATGAACAGAAACTGTAACAGCCTCTTTAATCAGCTACATTCCCATAAATGTGTCTTTCACAACTTTAAAATCTTAGAACATGAAAAAAACAGTGTGTGTATTCTCCACTCAATGATGTAATTTCCCCAAATTAATTTGTAAAGCTGCTTGGGTATTTTTTATTAACTAAACCTTTGCTGGTGATACAAATTTCCAAGTATTTTGATCCTCATAATCACGTTTTCAAGCAAACAAACGCCTACTAATTCAGAACAGCTCAACATGTGACATACAATAATTGTTCTATTATAATGCATATGAATGTCATTCATATGCACATCTTATGTAAGAACTTCAGCAAATGTCTGTACCACAGGTACGCCTGACATATGCTATAGAATGTCTGACAAGAAGTAGCCCTACTGATATGCTGCAAGTGCAAGGTTGTTCTCCTGCCATGTTTCTCTTGGAGGGCAGTATCAGCAGCCACTCTATACTAGCAAATGGCCACCTTCTAAACCCTCCAATCTGCTTTACGCTAGGGACTTCTGCAGGTAAAAGTTGGGACCCTTAATTCTGATTGACAAAGCAAAATGTTTTAGTACTAAGCAAAAACCTTGTGATGCATTCAGAGTTGAAATATGCAACTCTCATACATGTAAAGAACAATGGACAAAGAACAATATTTTACACGGTTCTGTGTCTTATGTGCATGCAAACAGTTTTCTATTAGCACATGACTCTTGCCAACAAAGAATGTACTGTTACCTGCATGATGTAATTAAGTCTGTAACCTAATATCACAACAACATAACCAAATAATTATCTCTTGTTTATTCCACTGCATTACCAATTTTTCAGAGTCAAAGTTTACTGAAACTCCTACAGGTAACACCACTTTTAAATTTCAGCATTTCCAACATGCTAATGAAAAGCATCAAAACAATTACTTTGCACTAATATAATCAATCCACAGGAAGATGGCTGTCTTGCGGGTTATTGTGCCATATAGTGTGGTAGAAGTTGACTAGCATTTCAGAGGTCTTTGCTACCTCTATCATCAGGGCAATGATGATGGAGACAACAAGCACCACTGAAACATTAGAACCTTTCTACCAGACACGACACAACAGCCATCATCATACTCGCCACTGTGAGAACCTGAAATCTCTGCCAATCTATATGTTTAAATTTCAGTCACAAAAACTACACAAAACAACCCCAAGAAATCCTTGTAACAAACTGACACAAACTGTGGCCTGTGACTTGTTCCTGAAGCACTCCCATTACTCACTTAAACAGCAAACACTTGCAGTCCACCTCAATACTGAACTGTCCATCCTCTCTGCCCTCCTTCCTGATCACTAGACCTCCAAACTCCTTGTTCATCATCTGCATACCATAGCATATACCTGCCAAGCAAACAGAGCAGTTCAGGATTCGTGCAACAATATAGCAATATATTGCTTCATGCCCACGATTGAAAAACTTCATAGCCAAATCAGAAAGCTCAGTTGCATACTTTACATTTCTATGTGTAATTCCTGACAACACTAAAATTCTTGTTCAAGGTTTTATGGAAAATATAACTATAAGACAGTACATAGCATTTTATAAAGAACTAAAATAAACATATAAATAAAAAAGTTGTTGGAAACAATAAGTGTGCGAATTAGTTTGGACAAGCGAAGGAACGCTAAGTCCAAGCCCTGCAATAGACACGCACAAGTTTAGACTTGCAGCAGAGCGATATCTGCAAGTCTAGAATTGTCTGTTGTGTTACTCTGGTATTATTTACACTTCCACTTTAGTCAGAATTGATATTTCATAGGCTGAGAACGTGATTAAGTAGTTCACAATTTTCATTGGAAACTTTTTTATTAAATACATCATGGACATCACGCCTCGTAAACGAGCTAAAATAATCGCTTTAGGTGAAAACACTTCACTTACTGCTAGGCAGATAGCAAAAGCAGTTGGGGTCGGGAAATCCAGCGTTTCACGGATCATGAAGCTGCATAAGGAGACAGGGTCCGTGGACACGTCCCGTAAAGGACGTTGTGGAAGAAAAAGAAAAGCCATCCCTAGAGATGTTAGTCTAATTCGAAGAATTTGTATCATAGACCCGAAGAAGACCAGTGGAGACATCAAAAGGGAGATTGCGTCTCATGGGATTAATATAGATGCTTCCACTGTACGTCGTCGCCTTCTGGAGTGTGGCCGCCGGGCTCGACGCCCCTCCAAAAAAGCAGCTTTTGATACCCGCTATGAAGCAAAAAAGGCTATCCTGGGCAAAGAAACATCGAGACTGGACTGTGGAGAATTGGGAAAAAGTGATATTTTCCGACGAAACCCACTTTGAGGTGTATGGCTACAGGTCAAATTTTGTTCGCCGCTCGCCTGGAGAACCTCTTCAATCCGGCCACATCCAGCAATCCCCCAAACACTCAATCAAGGTCCTGTTTTGGGGATGTTTCACAGCTTCCAGGCCACAGACACTTCACCCCATTGAAGGAATGATGGACAGCAAAAGTACATAGGCGTTCTGGAGGCGAAAATGGTCCCAACACTGCGGAAGCTGTTTCCTAACGGCGATTGGGTATTTCAACAAGATCTGGCTCCATGTCACAATTCTAAGCTTGCTAAGAGCTTCTTTACCCAGCAACATTTGAAGGTATTGGAGTGGCCAGGAAATTCACCCGATCTAAACCCCATTGAAAATTTGTGGGCAATTATTAAAGCGCGCATATCTAAGATGGATTGCACGACGAAAACCAAAATGATAGAAAGTGTCATGAAAGTGTGGTACCACGACGCTGAAGTGACGGAAATGTGTGGAAAGCTAGTGGCATCAATGGTTGAGAGGGTGAAAGAAGTAATTAAAGCTAAGGAGGGTCACATTCACTATTAACTACACTATTAAACAAATAAATATTTTAGTTGTGTCTTTGTTACTGTAGTTTCCTATTGTCCCAACTAATTTGCACAGTACTGTAGACTGCTTCTTTTTTTGCTAATGGGTTTTGAGGCTTCTAAGGCTATTTGCAATGATACATTATTTAAGTCAAAAACAGCCCTGCTACACCACAAGACAAGATTCACACACATGCCAAGATATGATACACATAAAAGGATAGTTTCTAAAAATAGTAACAATACCCACAACACCAACAACAACCACAGAAAAGGGTGTAATGGTAGCTGGTGGTAAGACTTTGGTTAGAAAAGCAAACCTATGGTAATAAGAGACACTACAATCTTTCAAAAAAAGTCTTTCCAGACAATATGTAAAAATTGAAAACTACAAAATTACATAAAACTGCCCATTAATCTAACCTGGTAAGTCCTACCACATTTAAAAATGCAAACATGTTATAAATGCTATTGCAACCATCTCTAAGTATGTCAGAGAAAGTGCCACAAAGATGATGAACATAAAATGTAAGCCAGGCTTCATTACATAGGCAACCCACTAGGGTATGCAGCACACCTCTACAACACAGACAGGTGCCCGCTCACCATACAACAAACAGTCATACATCAGACACACATGACCAATCCAGAGGCATGTCAATGACTTCCTCCTTACAGACAGAACTGAAGGAATGCTACACCATCAGCAATTCACTGTCATGAGTAATAATTAGTCCAGTCATCTTGCCACAAGACTAAAATAACCATCAGACCAACTCGCTTTTATAACATTAAAATCAACAATACATAATTTGTACTAGATGGACACATTTTGATCTGTATCAGATCATCGTCAGTGACCTATAGTAATGAGCGCATGTGACATAACATTGTCATATCAGTTTGGTATCTTTGAACTAGTGGCACTAACATACATTACAAATTAAAATGCTCAGTTATATACACATCCAGACCATTCATGTAAAATATTAAGTACTGCACTGTTTAGTTATCACTTCTTCAGCCATTCTATGACAATCTCTAATGTCCAATAATGTGATCAATGGTTCCTACTTTGAGTTATATGTAATAGAGCATTTATAATATTCATTATTCTTTTCAAAATGGATAATCATATTGTAAATATACAGATGATAAAACCAACTAAAAGTGGCACAACAAAGATAAAACTGGTCCTTCTAAACATGAAGAACATCACATTGTGTATGAAGTCACTAAAATACATCTTGTAAACTCTTAATAAAACACTTGTGTACATGATTACCTAAAACAGGAATTCCTATCCGAAAGATATCCGCATCATACCGAGGGGCATCCTCGGCATACACAGAATTTGGTCCTCCAGAAATAACGATTGCTCTGCAAACAGAAGAGTATAAGAGAATTTAGATATTCCACACTTCTTACATCTTTTAATTGCACTTCCTAAAATTGCATTTCTGTTCACACAAAGACAAGTTGTTAAACTTGTTGAAAAACTGAGTATATCTGATGTAAAAGTTTGCATAAAGTCTGCGCTGACTTCTTTCACAAAGGTAGCAAAAAGTGCACACATGAAACACATTCTTTTTTAAAAAAAACTGGCATCTAGTAATGTTGGAATAGACAACTATTAAGTATCACTTACTTGTAGCCCTTCTCCTTCAAGGTAAAGGCTGGTGTATCGAGAGGCAGAATCTCACTCTCCACACACAACTCACGCACCTTTCGATCAATCACTTTGCCATACTGTGCACCAGCATCCAGAATGGCAACCCGTTCCTGGTTGTGGGCACCATTGGCACGATATTGCCCCTCCGGACTTGTGTTGTGCATCTCACTGGAACCCCAGCAACACTGGAACAAACCAAGCTGCATCAGAGTCCTTGAAGAACCTTGGGCTCCTCACATATGGGAGGTTTCTTGATGTATTCAGACATTTGGAGGGACTCCTTGGACAAGCAAACGGCCCATCACAAGGCCTTTACCTGTACACAGGACAGCACAACACAGAAGGATGCAGACAAACATCGATGCCTTGAGTGGGATTCATACCCACGGTCCCAGCGTCTGAACGTTCAAGACCCATGCTCCAGGCCACATGGCCACTGTGATTTGCAGTCACTTTCTCAGCAATTTTTAAAATACTTTATGAACTAAAGGTTATCACACAATGACACATGGTAAAACATAGCCAGATATCATGGTCAACTTGAATATAACTATTCCAGCAGTTGCCTGGAGGGTCTGAGTAGAACCATAAAACCTGATACCAAATAGGCAATTGAACTGTGTATCACCTAAGTGAGGCTCTTAAAATATTTGAGACTCAAGGTATTCAAATCATGTACAAGTGACTTGTGTTCACATTCATACACTTACTTAATGCTTTCAATGATTTTCTGGTTTTAAACACATGAAACGTTTGTTGCCCATAAGTTTTCAATTTCACATATATTACACAGAACTGCTACTGCAGGAGCAGTTGTGTATTTACTTTGATGCAAGCTCACTTTAACATAGTACTTCCAGAGAAAATAGTGTTGAAACATTAAGCGTCTAGTGGCACCCACAGTATGTAATGAAATTATTCAATGCTCTAAATCAGGGTGGTCCAACTTCTTTTCTTGCTTGGGCCAGAATAGTTTTCCTGTTGGACCTAAGGGCCAAGAAACCCCCACTGTCACAATTTTTGCATTGTCATTATCTTTAATGATACTTATTCAGAAATGACAAATTATCATTGCATATGCTGAAATATAAATTGTATTTAGATGTGCACAAACTACTACAGAGTTGTATATTATTATTATAGAGCATTCATATTATCTTCATATAAATTGTAGCAGAAGTTTGAACAATCTGTTCCATATTTATGTGACACGGGCTCACATTTTGTTCAATTTCTATTCTGCAATATAAGTAGTTGCCAAGAACTGATAATATTGATCTCAGTGTTTCGTACCTTTGTTAAGTGAATGATTTAATGACTCTGTTAAGATCTGTGACAATGTTTGGATCATTATAAGACTACTGTGTTGGGCATTGCCCATCGTTTGAGATATATTTGATTTACATGATGTTTTGGGTGTTAGCTGGTTTTCATCATACTGACATTTGATTGCTTTTTTTATGTTGGTGGCAATGGCCAGCACTGACCTGGGACCATTTAAATACTAGGCAAGTATTCTAAGGCCCAGAACTGATTGCTGTTAAATTGCTGCTACACATTCAGTTAGAAACTATTCTGCAGTAGAGGGAGGTACATGATCTGATATCAACAGTTGGATGCCTGACAAAATGTGTAACACAAGTAAAGTTGTAGGATTTGAGGTTTTCATGGCGGTGAGTCTGAAGATTGCTGTCTTCTGGGTTGTTGTGCCGTGTAGTCTGGTAGAAGTTTACTGACGTTTCAGAGGTCATTGCTGTCTCCATCATCAGGGCAATGACAATGCCCTGATGACAGAGGCAGCATGACCTCTGAAACGTTGGTGGGCATATACCAGACTACACGGCGGAACAATCCAGAAGACAGCAATCTTCGTAAGTAGAATTATAACAACAATCAGTTCTGCACAATCCGAGATGTTTAATGGTTAGTGATCCTGAGACCTATAATGTTTTGGTAACAAATGCCTAATGATGAATTTATTGGCTGAATGTCAGACATGGAGAAACCATGTGAGATTACATCACAAATATGAGCTAACTGCAGCAAGTTACCTGATATAAAAATTAAGAGTTATTACGGCTTTCCCATGCTTGTAACTAGTGCTAGTCTTTGTTTTAGGGGCATTATAACACCAGAAAGAGAAGCTGCTGGTACCAAAGAAGGAGATGCACATGAGTACACCTGATCAGAGGTTGGTTTACCATAAAATGGAGCAATGAAGCACCTATTTGACCATCCACCAATGTTACTGATGGGGGGAAACTCCTCTTCATTTACAGAAATATGGAATGTTGCATAAAAGTTCAATTTCATTTCAAGTCTGGTGCACACTAACACTTTGGGGCTTAATTGCTCCTTTAAGGACTTCTTTGCATCAGTAGCCATAACCTCAGTACAAACGACAAAAAGAGATTTAGACCTTCCCCTTTTCAACACAATGTGTAAACAGGTAGAGTATGTCATGCCTAACAATGGCTATGTATGTTGCCATAAGGTGTTGAAGGAAGGAGTCCCAAAAGCAGGCAATTTAGCATTGTAAAACCTTCTGAATCCACACCGGCCAACTTTGGCTTCAAACTAACTGATAGAATGCCTTTGAAGGACTTGACTTCAGTGCCACAATAAGTAGGACAAACAGCAGGTACTGATGCACTGTGTGCCAGAATGGTGCAAACTAAGGTACTTGACCCTTTGAAGGATAATTTCATGGCAGGAACTGATGGAGTAGATGAACTGGTAGTGATTTTTTTTCAAAATTATACATAAGATATTTGTTATCTTTATGTAGCTGTTTCACATATGAAGAAAGTTTCAAAACCATATGAGCAAGATTCTCAACAAAATGTGTGCTAGCTCCACGGAGCCATACAATCTCAAGCTGAATGCCAAGCAACTCTGAAAGAATAAGCTCCCTATCTGGAAAATATCTATCACAGGATGTTGCAAATTAGAAGCAGATTTCAAGTTTTGTCGTGATGAATATACAGCAATAGAAGCATGATTAGCCACAACACATAATACATATTTAAATACAGACAGACCATCCACCTTAAAAACAGAATACTCAATATCACTCATTTTAAGGCACAAAGGATTAAATTTTGAACCAAAGGGCCCACTTCATCTAAATTACCACAAAACAGTTTCATGCACACTGAACTGCAGTCCTTGCTGGCAGGCTGTGATAAAACAGCACCCTCACAGAGCACTGGCAGAACACGTCCATTCGCTACAAGCGCTAACAATATGATATAATGACAAGTATAATACTCTTATCAAGAAATAAGTAACATTCCTCTCTCACTTTCTGATATCCAAGTTTGTTCTTTTACTACCCTTACCACCGCTTTAGCAATTCTTAAAGGGAATTTCCTTGCATTGTTTCAGTGAAAGACCTTGTCATCCCCATGATCACCTGTTTTTTTGTATTTACTCTACACTCATATCCTATATTCCATTTTAAGATTATTCTCTGCCCAATCAACTGGCAAATTTCCACAATGCCTTCCAACCAAAACTGTGTACAAATTATTTATTTCCCCCATGGGCACTAATGTTTACCTTTAAATAATAAGTGTAGTTCCACATCAAGAATAAAATTCATACAACTCCACAATGTGTAATTGGCTCTTCTATTTCTATTTAATCTCTTTTAAATCAAAGAACACTCACTATTTCCAAATACCTTTGAACTCCATTCATCTCCCAAAGTCACAGATAAAGTTCTGTACCCATACATACCAATAAGTACAATTACATGAAATACCATATTTTAAAGTAAAAGTATGATATGATAACAAAAGAAACCAATCACATGCAACAACCTAAGCCACATCCAATACTATGACTCTCATGCTGATATAGAATAGATGAAAATAATAAGCTCCACTTGATGTAACACGGTCTGCAGGTTACTGACAAAAAAATCATGCATCATCAGCAATGTGGCGCATGTTAAAACACAGAACTGAAAATTAATAAGGCTATTATACTATTTCATGTATGTGATCATTCAAATAATTTCAGTTTAGGATAATTCTGCTCTGCTAAAGTTTTAAAAAAACTTGATGGAATATAAAAGCTTCATGTCCAATGTCTTCTTCATTCATTCTCACATCCATGTAGATAACACAGACTTTATACAATGCCCGAACATAGCATAACAAAAATATAATCTGATAACTATAAGACATAATGTGGACTGATAGCACTACGTGACTATTTACTTTATGCACATTACATCAAAAAATAAGATGGTGAAATTGCTTAAATAAATCACCCATGGATAATTAATGAAAGTGTATAAATACCATCACCAAGTGTAGGAATATAAATATACACATCATGTTGCAAAGACATTTCAAAAAAATGAAGCAGCCATGAGAAGCATCAATGGATGTCAGACACTTTTTCGTCAATAATTTTCCAGAGGGTTTTGAAGTAATAAACACAAATTAAAAAGAGAAAAACTAACAAAAAGTGCCAGAGCCCTTCAAAAGTACAGAAATTAAATGAATTGTGTACATTTAGGTGCAGTTGCTTTGTCACAGTTGCATTATCTACATACTTCCACGTCTCTCACCTGCATCACACATATAAGCAAATCTATTGCAACTGTGCTAGCCAGCTCCCTCAGTCATGACTGTCATGGCAGAGGTCTAAAATTAACTACATGGCAACTGACATAGTTTCAACACACTGAGAGGGGAGCAATGCTATTTTAAACACAAGTTCACATGCCAAAATCAGCTGATGAAATGAAACAGTGGTGACAATGGAAGCAGCACCACACAACAACATAACAGATATGTCTCTTACTGGCAGCATTCTTTACATGAAACTCACAGACCTTGAAAATAATTCATTTTGTCTACAATATTTTTTGATCTGGTACCTGTCTCCTTTAAAGTGATAATGTACAGCGCCATGGTTTCTTAGATGTCTCAGAAATCATCTTTTAAAACAAAAATAAAAAATGCCTACATTTTCTAAATTTCAACAAATTATGACAAAAATCTGGCAATGAGAAATAATATTCACAACAAGTTAGATATTATAGCTCCTACTCATTCTTGACCTCTGCACTAAATGGGGGGTGAGTGGTCAGCATCACACTCTGGCCACACTTTACCCCCCAGGAAAGGAGGTTGGGTGGGTCTCAAAACCAGTCTGGACACAGAGGCTAGAGGAAAAATCCTCTGCCCCCATTGGGAATCAAACCCCGGTCGTCCAGTTTTGTATTGTTGTGAAAAATGATTTCTTACAGCAAAACTGAACCTTTGATTCATAGATTAAAATAAGTACCAATTATGTCTAATCAAAATAAAGGGGTTAAATTAACAATTAACCCACTAACCATTCAATCAATTTATTCTTTATCATAATCATGAGGTTTACAGTCACTAAAACAAAATCCCACCCGGATATGATCTGATCTACTCTGTTAACCTGTTCTAAGCACATTTTAATATTATACCTCCATTTCCTGACCAAAGCTGGCAATGGAAGAAAACCACAAGACAGCCATTTCAGACAATCCTTACTTGACTACAGCCATATTTGTTTTTGCTTAGTTTGTGTAAAATGTGTTAAATGATTGTTGCAACATGTACACAGTTTAATTAATGACTAATTAATTGTTTGAAACCAATGGGCACATGTGGCCATCCTGCATGAGAAAAAATATAGTTCCCTGATATCAGAAAACACATCTTGTTGATGTAGTCAGTTCTTAAGCAGTCTGTATCACTGTGAGCAACTGTTCCACTTGATGAAGAATATAAAATTAAAAACTTGGATGCATCTTAATGATGGGGCATTTGAGGGGAATACCTCTATCTAATGAATACAACAGCTCTTTATCCCAAGGGAAAGTTAGTCACCTTGTAACCTCTATTTAGTGTTGAGGTTAAGACTATTCAGTTTTATTTCCATACTTCTATGCCTATGCTGCAGTGCTGAAGCACAGCAACTTTACATTAAATTTTCAGAAGAACTGGACATTGAAAGACTACTTGAGCAAAAGCAGTGTCACATGCCTCACTGATGACTGACTTAAATAAAACTAATAAACTGTCCTCATTTGCAGCTCACAACCTCTTAGGTAAATGTGAATTTTGCCCACAGTATGGAAAAATCTGAAACAATTGCTTCAATTAATTATTTTAGGGACAATGTAGAACCTACATTAATGAGTACAAATGAATACAAAATCAAAGCTGGACAAACAGGCCTTGGACTTATATGAATTCAAACTCCAATAAGAAATGTTATCTTCTTCATTTTACATACAGCAGAGTCTACAAGTAGGTAAAATTTTATATTGCCATCAAAATAGTTAAAATCTTCCCTACTGTAGAAACAATATCTTTAAGTCTAAGATACAACATTGCTTCATTAATTTCAACTGTAGTGTTCACAATGGTACTTAAATGAACCACACCTTACTACAGAGTACATTCTATTTTGACACGATATTTAAAATAAATATGTATTCTATAAAAGTGTAGTTATTAATCTGTGTGTTTGTAATAATCATGAAACTAATCTAGAAGTAGAATAGACCATAAATTACTACTTGACAGAACTGTCTACATAACTTTTTAGCCAGACATTACTTCCATGAAATTATTCACTACAACATATGTCAACCATGTAAGGTCATTCTCAGTGAGAAAGTATTAAATGTGCTGTAAAATATTTCTTATTAGGAACAACCTGTTATATAAGTATGTGTTCATACATTTAAATGTACAGTAACCAGCTGTGGATCCGGTTCATGGCTTTTACAATGTTAAGTTACATATACTTATGTCGCAAGGAAAACTGATGGCAATATGCAGGCTGTTAAAAGAAAGTTAAAGACGAATGTTTTAATCTTAAAACCTTGCATACTGCACAGAGTTATCTAAATATATTAAATCATGCATACAAACAAAACTGTTTACACTTGGAAAAGACACTTAGTGCCAAATGCATTTCGACCTCAATAGATCGAAACACGTTTTATATATTTACGTGTTTTACTTCTCTGCTGTTAACTTGGTTTCTTCACTAGTTAAAGAGTATGTACATCCTGTTGGAGTGCTAAGACTAACTTTGATAGCACTGCTGATTGAGTAAGTCGCAGAATATGTGGTGCAGCTGGATATTATGTACAATGCACAGGGTCCATGAGAATAAAGAAATATTTTTATGTTATTTGATTCTTCACTGACAGATAGTACACAACCTAGACACCAGAAATTATCATGCATAAATGTTACAAATCCTGTAAGTCTTCCAATTCAATCATGTGTTTCAGCACACTAAATCAGAGTTCTCTGTACAGTTACGAGACGCCAAATAAATTTTTGTGTTAAGTACACCTTTCTTAACCAGCATAAATGCATGGAACAACTGGGTTCCAAGTAGTTTCATCTGTTCCAAATAGACTTGATCACAGACCTCTTTCTTCTTCGTATTCACAAAATCAAAACTGAAGTTGTGTACACTGTATTGAACTCATTCATACAGCTGGTGGGATGTCATCATTTGGTCATTATATGGTCACAGCAAGCTGGCTTTTGTTCCAAGCCTCTTCAGAGTGCCACCAACCCCATCACGAGCAGCCTTCTCATGGGACGTCACTAAGGAGTACCACTCTGCTGGCAATCCAGACTTCATTGTGGCATTTAATATTTAGACAGAAGCGATTCAAATGTGTTTACAACAGCCTTCATGCTGCTGAATTCTGTCTCATAACTTAGCACTCTCAGTAATATTTGTTGTAATAATTTAAAATACATTTTTTTTCCAAAAACTATTCAATCTACATATAGTAATAACCCTAATGATATATGACTGTAAAAAAATTATTTTAAATATAAACCTGAAAAAAATTTGGTGCCTGCTAATAAATAATGTTGATGATACATTAGCTTTATCCATAACTTTGCTCCTGCACCTAAGCCATATATCTATCACAATCACAAATCTCAGTTGAATAAATACATTACTGTTCCCATTACAGTTAACCTATTTCAAGCTGTAGCCAGAGTTAACGCTTTAATAAAAGACAATGCCTGAGTTTTGTCAGAAGTGATGCTAAGGGATCCTAGGTGTGGAAGCCAGTACAGAGAAACATAGCAAGAATTAGCCCACCTGTGAAGAAGCCGTTTGATGGTAAGCTGAAGGTTGCTGCCACCCTGATGAAGGAAGCAGTTAACTTCTCTGAAACGTCAGTCAATATCTACCAGTCTATAAGTTGCAACATCCCAGAAGACAACCAACCATCTTCATCCCTGTCACCATGAGAACATGAAATCTCACTTACAAAGAAAACTTCCAAGGCATATTCTTACAAAATCTGTATTAAATTCATTTGTAGTTGTTTGAAACTTCATAAAATAGAAAATATTCCTTTATGAAATAGAATATGTTCAAAGACTAAAAACACAAACAGGCAGCAGGGTAACAGAACAAGTATCTGATTTTATTTACTTTAAAAGTAAAAAAAAATAATATTCATATTGGGACACAACAAAATAAGCTGTATAATTAAATACAATTTTGGTACCCAAATATCAAGTGATATACAATTATGGAATTAAAACATCGCAAAAAATGCACTTAATTATATTGGTGGAATTTGTATCTCAAACAAAAAGGAACACAGAAATTAGAAGCAGCACAAATTAATTTTTAGAGACAACCATATGTATCATTAGACAGACCACCAAAGTTCTGCAAGACAGAAGATACAAGGATACAAATGGAGAAACAATATGGAAGGAACGAAGACAGACTAAACTAACTAACTAACTAACTACCTGGCAGCACAACCCACAGGCCCAACACTGACAGCACCAAAGCCCGCCACCAGACTACACCTGAGAGAAATCCATCCATTTACCATCCTCACAGCCTACCTCCTACGATCCATCTTAATATTATCCTTCCATCTCCTTCTTGGTCTGCCCAGTGGTCATTTTCCAGAAGTATTCCACACCAACATTCTGTATGCACCCCTTGCCCCTATGTGTGCTATATGTCCATCCCATTGCAGCCTCCTAAATTTTACTATCCTCACTATGCTAGGTGACCTGTACAATTCACACAGCTCCTCGTTATGCAATATTCCAAATTCCCCACTCATTTCATCGCTCCTAGGTCCAAATATCCTCCTGAGCACCCTGTTCTCAAACACTTGTAATCTACATTCTTCCTTCAAGGTAAGAGACCATGTTTCCCAACCATACAAGACAACCAGAAAAATTATTGGGTACTTGTTGGTTATCGGGACACAAAACGGGAGAGTCGAATATCTGGACTTCGGCCCGACATCATCTGGATTCATATTTAGCTGAGTTCATGTGGCGGTGTACAAATGATAATGGTGATATTTGTAAAACGATTCTAAAATCTATAAGCGAATTTTGGCCTCCGGAGACAGGTTGTAAGAACAATTAACATCTCATGCATATCCAAATAAAATATAATAATTTGTCATTTATTGAAATAAAATATAATAATTTTCAAGTATATGTCATTTATCCACACACATTAACCTAACCTAACATAACCTAACCTATTTTTAAAGAGATGTGTCCCGATAACCCACAAATACCGATTATTGTTTTCTATATCCTGATCTTCAGTGTTATAGATAGTAAACGAGATAACACTTTTTGAATTGAACATAAGCAAGGATTTCCCGAATGTATTCTACTCTTAATTTCATCATGGACCTCACTTCTCCCTCCCCCCCAGCAAATTGACATCATCAGCATAGGCAAGTACCTGGTGCACACCATTCAATTTGAGCCCTTCCTGATGACATGATTAGAAAAAAATTGAAAAAACATTGGGAATAAAGCATCACCTGTTTTAGGCCACTGTGCACTGGGAATGGATCTGACATAAGGTTACTCATATGAACTCTACTAGATACTCCATCTAAACACATCTTAATTAATCAAACAAGTTTCTTTGGCATTCCAAACTCAATCAAAATGCCATCCAGTACCTCTCTTCTGAGGCTCATGCCTTCCTAAAGTCCACAAATACTTAGTGTACTGACCCATTGCACTCCCACTTTTTCTCCAATATTTGTCGAATGTACAATATCTGATCAATGGTTGACCTATTATGGCAGAATCCACATTGATCATCCACAACAGCTTCATTCATAAATAGTATTAACCGTGCCATAACAATATTCGATAAAATTTTGTATGATGTTGACAAATGAGAGACACTTTAGAAGTTACTGTACTCAGTTTTGTCAACTGTTTTATGGAAAGGGAGATAAATTGATTCTTTCAACTGCTGTGATAGAACTTTCTGGTTCCAAATCAAGACTTTAAGCTTATGTATCTCAGAGTGCAGCATCCTACCAACTGCATGGATTCATTCGGCTGGAATTGAATTAATACCTGGAGATTTATAACATTTTAATTTCCCAATGGCAACTTCAACTTCAATAAGACTCGGTTCCAGGTTAAAGGGCTCAGCTGTATGTACTTCAAGCTCTTTAAATTGATCAGCTAAGTGAACGTTTAGTAACCTACTAAAGTAATCTTTCCATCTGTCTACAATGCTGTGTGAGTCAGTGAGTAGATCCCCATTCCTGTCCTTCATCAAATGTGTCCTAGGTTTGTACCCCTTCTTAAATTCACTTATGCCTCTATACAACTCTCTGATGTTTTTATTTTTTCTGCTAGCTTCTAACTCCAATATTTAATCTTCTAGACACTCCCTCTTCTTATTCCTCAAAGTTCTGCTGGTTTCACGCCTTACACTTTTCATTCCAGCACAGGCCTGCAGCCATCACAATCTAACCTGCTTCCTCTGTCTTAGCAAGATTGAGCATTCTTCATCAAGTCATGCTTTATTTTTCAACATTTTATGATACCTTACACTCTCCTCCATTGAAATTTTCATGTTAGCATAGAGATAGACTATCTTACACAAATGAGCTTTCATTACCAACTGACAAGATGAGATTTGGTGACCAAAGTGATAGTAGAGAGACCACGACCATCCTGGGGTTTACAGCCATTAAGACTTAATGACCTAACCACAAACAGTTCATAGTGATGAGGGTGGCAACAGCAATGATTATAAATGGCAATTAGGTGAGGATTTGGGAAAACATGAATCTCTCCTAGCATTTTGTCTTGTAAGAATAAAAAACAATTTAAAATATTACATGATGAGAATTTAATGATTTATAAAGGTCAGTTTATTTTATACGATATTCAACTAGTTAACCGATTATAATAACTTTTAAATACTCCTTCAAAATGAAATTACGCATATATTACAGATTTTTAAATCAAAGTTTATGTTTGATAATGCACCAAATCGATAAGCCAAGTTCAAGTAATCTGTCCTCTTCTTAAATATCCGGTAATAAATATACAATAAATAATTACAAATGAGCTTGCAGGCAACGAAGATTATGTATGATCAGGTCATACTTTTTTACAGCTTTACTTTTACTCCAATGGTGATTGTATTCCAAATACTAACACTTCTCTCAATTTCCACAAAACATCAAATTAACAAATAACAAAATATCAACTATTTCTTTGTTATAATAACAGATAAGCTTACAGTTCTTGCTAATGCTGATAATTGATATTAAAATCATTCGGGCCCAACCGCATTATGACAGACCTACTTTCACTAAGCGTCAGATAACAAAAGAGTATACGTGTTCCACTTGTACAAATTACTCCATAACGTGAGCACTTACCGAATATTAATATCTCGCAATATATTCACTAAATTCTCTCAATTCCTAGGCAATCCACACGAAAAACATAAAATATGCACCAAACGACATGTATCCAAAGATGGCAGTGCTATCGTCGGCGTGTGTTCATTAATTTCTGTGAGAAATATAGTTAATACGCTAGGCGTATCACATGAGTTATGTTTTAAAGTGTGCAACACAGATTAACCATAGAAAGCGTCGTTGTCACCTGCCTCAAGAAGGCTATTGGCATAAATACACACACAGTTCAGATCACAAATAATAACAGCAAATAACATGAAATTACGAAATAGTACTTCCTAATAAAAGACTTTTAAGATAAATACTACTGCTGCCTTCCACCAGTACCACGGAAATTCTCCTGAATCAAAGGGAATGGAAGAGAATGAAATCTGGAGCGACTTGTATAGTACAGAGGCGATGAATCGAAAATTAACAAATGTCAACTACGAAGTGAAATATGCGTGTAGTCCACAAGATCTGCTAAAGAAAGTCCATTTCATTCTCAGATAAAAATTGTCGGTTGTGTCACAGCCCCCGTAATAGATACAGCATACTAAGATACAACTCGGTAACACAAAAGCTCGGAAAGTATATTCCGTATTGCAGTACACAATATCCAAATGCGTCCTTTGTAACATGTATTTATAGATATCAAATGTACTTTATTCGAAATTTCTCACCTCAATGTTTATCTCAAGACTTCCCACATTCATTCACTCCTGCAGGAAATTCTTTGAAAGGTCTAATATATAATTGGCTTGTCAAAGAATAACCCACTTTCTTTTTGGACCCCAAAGGTTCATCACTGTGTTCACAAAAGCTCGCCACTGAACTCTATCCCGAGCTAGCTGCATCCAGCTCGCTCCATCAATTCCTACTTCTCCTAGGTCTTTACCCTTCAGGCCTCTCAACCAGTACCTTGTTAACACCCCTCCCCATCCCCTTGCGTGCCACACTTCTCACCCACCTCATCTTCCTTGATTTAATCACCCTCACATTATCAGGTTAGAACAGGTCATGAAGCTCATCATCATGCAATTTTCTCCACGATTCATCTCCCTTTTAGGTCCAAATACCTTCAACATTCTTGTTCTCGAAGACCCTCAATTGATGTTTCTCTCTCAACGTGAGAGACCAAGTTTTGCACCCATACAGCACAACTGGCAAAATTACACTTTTGTATATTTTAATCTTTAGTTTTTATATGTATATGAGACAAGAGGGCAAAAGATTTTGGACTGAATGATAGCAAACATTACCTGAATTTAATGTTCTTGATTTTGTCATGAATGTTATCCTGGCTCATTAGTGTCATCCCAAAGTACTTGAATTTTGTCACATTTTCAGACGATTTGATAGCTATCCTTAAATTCTGGTTGTCCTAAATTCTGATACTGATACATGATCATATACTTTGTCTTTTCTGCATTTATTTCTAAATCATCATCCCTACTAGACCTTAAGAGTGTTTCTGTATTCACTTTTATATTATTAATATCATCAGCATAGACCAAAAGCTGTGTCCCATACATTTCCAAACTGCCCTGATTTTCTTGGACTTTCCTGATGAAACATTTTAAAGCAAAATTGAAAATCTGTGGCCATAGAGGCCATTCTGAACATATTTAATTAGCCTGACTAGCTTTGTAGGTAGACCAAATTCAAGCAAAATATTGTAAAGAGCTTCTCTTTTGAGTCACATGCTTTCTTGAAGTCTATAAATTTTCGAGTGGAGCCAGGGAAGCTCAGGCAGTACAGAGACTAGGCTACTGGTTGGATGACCAGAGTGCATTTCCCAGCAAGGCAGGATTTTCTCCTTGCCGTGACATCCAGACTAGCTCCGGGGCCCAGCCTCCTATGCAATGCGTAATGAATCTCTTTCCTCGTGGGTAAATCAGCTGGGGCATGAAGCTGATCAAATACCTCCTAGTGTCAAGATTAAGAATGCATCAGTTATTTTATAGGTTACTAGCAATGACCAATAGCAAAACCAATTACCTGAAAACAGAAGCACATACAACTCACAATACACTTCTTTTAAATATACCTCATATGTTGGAAAATGTCCAACGCAATTTTGACTTAAGTCAAGCAACCAAAAGCTTTCTGTGGCTCATATACTAAACTGCATAAGAATGATTATACTATGCCAGTGGTAGGGTAAAGAGGATGATAATGGCCTGTGAAATAAAATTAATAAAACTTCTGAAACAAATTCCAAAGTTCCAGTCATGAGAAACATCTACAAACTCTATATGAGATCTGAAGTTCAGATGGCAGTGATGACATCAAAGTTAAGTCTTCTGGATTGTAATGTCATGTGGACTTGTAGGTAGTTCAGCCCAGAAGATGGAGGCAGTATGTTCCTGAATAAGTCCACATGGCATTACAAAGCAGATAATCAACATAAGCACACACTCTTGTAGTGACAGTACATCTCCCCACAGACGCAGAATTCATGGATACTTGGGGTGGAGTATCCTTTCAATGATGGGGTGTGACACTCCAGTAGAACCATATTCCACTACAAAGACTTCTCACCATTTTATTAATAACACAAATTTGATTATATGTAAATATGACAGATGTGTACCAATACCTATTTTTACCTCATATGTTTACCATCAAACTACATTAAGTTTGCTAAGAACATTTGGATATGGCATTTTCATTGGACAAACACAATTTGTAAACATTCAGATGCAAGA